GAGTGGCTCGAGTCCATTTTGCGACCTCAGGGGGCTCATTATTACAAATCCTTAAGATCGTTCCCTCTCCACATAAAAGTGGCTCTTCAAATCTCGCGTGCAGGCAACACCTCAACCAAAAATAACTAGCAGTCTCCAAGAGGCTAATTAAATGGCGGATTTGCAGATATCCTCCAGCCTACAGTAAACATTTTGTTTAAGGTAAAATCTACATGACGACTCAAAGTGGGAGCCTTTGCTTTGATAGATACTGGGTGGTTTAAAGTTAACTCCTATGCAATTAAAAGGAGGATTTACCTAAACAATTATGCTAGCCAGTCGGGGGAAATTTTTAATGGTCTGCAGTTAATCAGACAATAATTTGAATGAGAGCTCCTCCCTGTGCCTTTTAAACGAAAAGGCAAATGACCATTTGTAGTTTTAAGAATGGTATACACTTTTGCTGCTGTCTGTGAATGCATAAGTGGCTAAAATGAAACTATTTAGACTGGCAGATATTACTAATTAATCAGACAGTAGTGAGGCTCTCCCGATGGTCATGCGAATGACTCCAATTAATTAGCCATCAAGAAGATTTATTTTAAGAGAAAAAGGAACACTCAACCAATAAGTGAGAATTTAATTTTTCGTTTTTGTTTGCAATCAAAATGTGCTCACAAATTATTAAACAAGGCTAATTATGTGCATCCTAGCGCTTTGGATTAATCATTGTTATTACATCCCCGCAAGACTTCTCTCCTAAATCTGTAGATGTCTCTTTTCTAAGAAGGTTAATACAAAGTGAACGCCAATTTAAGAAATATGCAATTTTGATAAGGTGTTTTGAAAGTGTTTTCAAACAGCCCACAGCCGCTGTTTTCCTGCACATTGACCACCTACTTCCGCACACAGACTTCTTACATATCTCTACTATGGTGTAGGATATTCCCTTCTAGCGCCTTAGCAACGAATTTCATTGTCATGTTGTGAGAATCGACATCAATTTTCATCCATAATTTATATCAATATGTAGGCGACATCCAGTGGTTTGCTCTCCTTGGTTACCATGGATTGATTTTAATGGAAGGTGAGCCTTCTTCTGCTCTTCTGCCATTGGAATGGTGGGTGATATTGAAGTAAAAAATGCACAATTCTGCAGTCGTAATGTGTGTAAAAGAGCGTTGTCGACAATATCTTTTCTCAAATAGCCATCGTGGGGAAAATTCTCGTTCGATTGTAAAAGTGGTATGATGGGTAGTAAAATAAGAGCACGGTTCGATATAACAAAATTACCAGTTTAAATGATGAGAACGTTAGGTTTGTTGCAAAATTAGCACAATAGAAACCTTGGTTGCGTAATAGAATTATTCCACTTCAAAAAATTATCCACACATAACTGAAAGACTTGTCACTTACAGGGACACCTGGTGTTCTCAAATCTCTCCCAAGGCTCCATCAACGCATACCAATATGGGTAATTAGCCCAGCATTAGGACGTAAAATGTTGGAAGGCTAAAAGCACAAATGGGAGACCATTTACAAAGAATGAGAGCAAAAATTATGGAGGCTGACGAACCCTTGTGGTTAGGCGCACACTTAAAAAGGCACAAATGTGTGTGGAAGGTGGATTTATGTTCCTCTGAACTTGTGTCCTTGAAGCAGGCCCTTAAATTACTGTACAAACTTATCACAAAATACCAACCAAGGTCTTTAAAAAAAAGAAACCCAATAGAATTACTAAGCTTATCAGCAAAAGTCATTTGCAGCCAGCGTTATGTATCTACATAAAGTGTCGGCTGGACTGGTTCCAAGTTTAACATGCGTGACTGTGTTATCGAAAATAGAGGCCTAGATTTAAATGCAGAAGAATCGCCATTTTTCTAGCCGTCAGTGGTTGCTGTTACAGTAGAGGTTTAAAGGCATGATGAAGTCATTTGCTCCTATGTCAGGTGAAAATATTCCTTTCGGCGATTCGACAAGCCTATGTGATTTGCCTACGAGAAATTTATTCAAGGTGGATTGCTAGTAATTTTTCGACTGAGTAAAAAATGAACCATCAATTCACTCCACTCTTTAAGCACCCCATTATTTGATACAGACTCCTTGTTTTCCATGCCTTTTGATGAGGGACTTTTGGATTTGTGGTGTCCTGATTCATTGCTTATGGAAGTTTATTCTACAAAGCCTTGCCTTCGGAACTGAAGAGATGTACAAAGGCCTTTGATAAACAGGATAAACCACCGTCGGGGATCACTTACACAAGAAACTCCTGAATAGTCTAGGAAAAGTTGTGAGTAAAAATCTGGGAAAAAAAATAGAGATCTCACCTCTTATCACGATGCCCAAATTGTCCAAGGTCGGTTGACAAAGATGTGGCTTTGACCTGTTCTGTGAACTTTGGGTTGCAACGGCATGAGCTAAAGTGAAGCAGGCTAGATGAGTCTACCTTGGTTTAGTAAGGGTAAATATCACAGACAATCGCATTGCTTTGAGTGAGGCGGAAATGCTCGTCGATGGATGACCGAATGAAGAAAGTTTTGAATCTACTCCAGCCTGCATTAGCTGATGCAAAACCGTTCTTAAGGCTTCAGTCACTTCGCGCATAAAAATTTTGTTAGATTGGAGATGGAACAGGAAGGTATTTCTGAAGCATTGTCCAAACTATACCCAAATGCCTTAGGCATGGGTAGAAAAAGAAGGCTTTGTTGTAGCCCCCAAGAAATCTTGACTTTCTCACCGACCAGGTGTCTGTACTTGTTTCGCTTGATATTTCCCTCAAGGACTAGATTCCAATCTCAGAGCATATGTAAATTTTACTTGAAGATATGGTTACATTACAATTTTATTGTCTGCAGGGATCAAAGCCACGACACCTCGAATTTATGAATGGTACCTAAAACAGACCTTCGCCGTAGTCTTTTCATTAATTACTCCTGGATGTCAAAGCTCCATTCACGCTAATGAATAGCTTTGACTAATTTGACTAGTTTACGCACAGGATGTAGACACAATATATCAAGTGGTACTTTGTGGGGAGAATTAGTGTAAAACAGATTAGTGATGTAAGTGTAGTCCTCCATGACTATCCTGGAGCCTAAAGTAGTCATGATTCAAGGGCTGTATAAGTACAGTCAATATACGAGGGAACTCAGGAGCTACTGATCTGGTCCAGAGGCTTTGCCATCCGGTGAATCTACATAAGGGGAACTGTAAGCACCCATGCAATCCAAGAGCTGGGTTTGTCAGTCCACTTTCATCTGCTGCCAATCGTACCACATAAAACAAAGGACCCATAATTTTTGCAATCAGAAAAAGTCATGTGCTTCATCAGAAATGTAGCCAAAGCATGACACGCTTTGAGAACCAAACATTATTGGAAATCGGCAACATCCAAATCATGCTATCAAACTTATCTGCGTCAAGGTCCAAGTGTCTTTAATGATAGTCCGTGTCCCTCTCGACTCTGGAAATGGTTATCTGGTTCCGAATTGAAAGGAAGGGATCTTTTATATGCTACGGTCAAACCAGCCCTCTCCTTTAGCCAGCATAGTAGCCTATGCTGCATCCTCTAGTATTCAGCCTTAAACAATCCCTGCTAGGAACTCCAATTTGATCCCTTTGAGATGGTGCTTTTCTCTGCCTCATTGATATTTATGTTTGCAATAGCAGGGGATAACCTTTTTTTGGCACTATTGGAAGCCAGTCGCACAATGTGTGCAGTTGCTATGATGGGTGTATTGAGGTCGTAGTCAAGCTGCATGAGTGGTTTACTAAGCAAATGACGGATGTCTACTCAATCCCCAACCACAGCATTTGGAACCTAAGCAGCGAATATGTGGTACAACTTGAAGATTAAAGTGACAAAGTACAAGGCTGAAATTAATTGTTTAACCGTTCCATTAACTTTCGTTATGATTCTTCTGTTTAACGTGATATGTTCAGGCAATTTTCTGCTTCCCTCAAGTTAATATTACCTTGGATAAATTATAGTGCAAGTGAGTTAGCAGTGGTAGTTCTATTTCCAGCATCCACCTGCTATCCTAATTTCTTCAAATAAAAGCATAGGCGGTGGCTCTGGCTTCTATTTTTTGAGGCAACCTTCTCAATAAGCCTAGCTTTCTGTCCAGATTTTCTAGTCATCCCAGTTTGAAGGACCTCAAAGTGCGCCTAGACGAAGGAAATTGTGTTTGCATTTGTTTGGTGTAGAGTAAGCTTACTTAGGGTGTGGATTTTACTGTTGGTGTGTACAAGTCTGTTTCCAATTATCCAATCCTACACACAAGGCGAAACGGCCATAGTGAGATCTCACAATTTATCGCTTGTCACTAAATATGATTAAAAGGCTAAAGATTTAGGAGGCTGCAACCTACACGCCTACCCGTCTACCTGTCCGCCTGCCTCTTCACTACTTAGCCTGCTTGCCTGCTTTTCACTGTTTATTGTTTTCGAGGGTTATGATTGTACACAGATTACGCCAGAGTTTGGCAGACGTGCCCAATTCAGTGTTCAGCTGACTGAATGGGTCCTCACAGAAGTAATGGCTATGTTGTAGAAATGCCTCGAGCTACCACAATGGAGACCGTCACTGACGTTCAGATGCACAGATGTGCAGTCATTTTGAATAATTGACTGCTTCTGCATCTATCGTCATTCAGCTGGGCCTACTGTACTATACCATGTCTGAAAACCTCTGTGCATACGAGAAGATGCCCGTGGGTATCTGGCCAACAAGAAAGCTCCCACTAGTGCCTTCCATTTTGAGCAGAGGTGCAGAGACTGGAGTGGATAGGACTGGACCGACCCCAGATATGCATAATAACTGCTAGCTAGAGATCACATCCACCAAATTCTTCTGCATGCATTACTGCCACAATCACATTCTTTTAAATTGCTTATAGACACAAACTTCCACTTATGAATGGAAAGTGCTTCCACTATTTGAAAATATGCTATTGCACATCTCATTTTATAAGTCAAATTTATTTTCTTCAGTGAAATGAGTGATTAATGATTTATCAAGTAGCCGTGATTTTAAGAGAGATACGTCTAATTACTCTCAGTCCGTTTTGAATCACAATTTCCACCTAAATGCATTTTGAATTTACAGCTTTAACGGTCGACTTGTAACAAAGCTTACATCCTCCTTGCGATCACATTATGCATAATGTCATTCTTCCATCCCTGACCTTGGATGGAATCCTCATTGAAGTTCATAAACCGCTTTGGAAATTGGCCGTGAATACTGTCTTCATAATTCCCATGTTAAATAAGCAAATTCTATTGCTGATTAATGTTTATTCCACGCAGTCTTCCACGAAGACGAGAATAGATAAAATTGTTGCAGAGGATTTCACTGAACCCCAGCAAAAGGTGTATGCAGATGGCTAGTTGAATCGGTTCCACATTTATGACTCCGAACACTGCCAAGTTCCAAGTGGGCATACATCTCACATGTCCATAAAGCATCAAGGGCCAAGTGTGCTTTGAAATGTAGACGATTTGTTCATATTAATAACAAAACTTAGGGAAAATCGAAAACAAAGGAAATGAACATTCCGAATTTCCCTCTTATAAAATGAATATAATCGCAAATAGGTGGCGTGAATTCGAAAGAGAAAAGCTACTCCTGAAAGTAAGGTTTAATCCACCGAAAGCAATTATATCAACAGGCCTTCTGGAACCAGACACCTTCTACTATGTTTAGCGGAATCCTAAGTCAGAAGTCTCAATTGTCCCTTGTCAGTATAATCAACAACTGTTATCATATCGGTAACCCGTGAACGATCAATTACTGTCTTATTCGCGAAAGCACTGTTAAATGAGTTCACCAGCTCGTTCAGGCACTTGCGCTTCTAACTGCGGACAGACTCGCCGTCTTTTGTTACTCGCATCTACATTTTGACGACAGATATGGCTTATTACGGCGTTGGGGAAGACCCACGCAGCTGCACTTTAAATCTGCATTATTTTTAGGGATCCGCAAATACTATACCAACTGAAAATAAAGCTTACTGTATTCCGGGCTTAAAGCCATGCAAACATTTCATCTTCTCTTGTTCAGTGATTTGAAGCTCGTAGTAATTTTAAAAACACTTACTTGGTACATATTTAGGGTGAATGAATACACGCTCCAAATTTTTTTCTAATACTGATTAAAGTCTGCAAATACCTCAGATTAGAGTGTCGACTTTCAAGATTTTGAGATATTTCAAGGTTAAAACTTCCCCCAGTTAGCTGTCTAAAAATATTTAACTCGTTTGGTGTTAACAACGATTTCAGGTCTACTTTGTTTTTATAATTTAAATATTTGTCATATTGAGTAGTCCACACGAACACATAATACGTAGTAACCGTAGAGTTGTGCGACTTAGGCCAATTTTTGACTTTAAAGGTTCATTATACAGAACTCTAAGGTCATTCCCCTGTCTCATGTGTGCAATCCTTCACTTCGCAAAAGGCCGGTTTTA